ACAAATATCCATTAATTCTGCTTTGATTTTTTGTTGCACTCGAGGATATTTACTCAAGAAATGAATAAGCCAAGCCAATGCAGTAGATGTTGCTTCAAAACCAGCGATTAAAAATAGAAGCATTTCTTGATAAACTTCATTTTGTGATAAACATGTTAACAATTGAAGATAATTCAATATATCAGACTATATCAATTATGAATGTTCAAATCGCAAAAGAGAGCATGAAACATTTCACAAAATCGAAAAACAATGAGCTATAGTGAGCTTTGATTCTCACATTCTTATTCAAACTAAACAAAAGAAAAATATTTTCGGATAAAAAGTATTTGATTTTATATAATTGTATTAATTTAGAAATACTGTAAAAGAAAAGTAGTGAATATCAAATGGTGTATGAAAAATATTGCATACCTATGTCATAATACTGTCCTTTCTGCTAGCAATATGTGAAGAATTTGAAAGAACCTCTGTGAATTATTGAAAACTTCAAATAAAATATGAAAGAAATGTGGAATAATAATTGAATAATATAGTATAATATTCAGCAGAAAATGAAATTCTTTCGTTTGCACACACAGAAAAAAGCTTTTAGTGTAATCATAACGGGATTGATTCGTTGACGAGAGTCCTACCAACACTAGCGATACCATACATGAGGATTAGACGGCCTAACATATCAAAATGTTTGTCAAGGTTTATCGGGGGAGCTGCAACAGGAGAGGAAGGTTCACTTTTCTCGTTATATATTTCAATCGTGTTTCACGAAACAGAAGCTTCTAAGCGCATTCTTTTTCTAGTAATATTCATGTTTTGAAACTTTCGAAACTTCGATTTGAAAATCAATAGTGATTCGAATAAACAATACCTTTTTTCTCGTCGTCACTCTTTCTTGCTTCCATTTCTTCGTCTTTTTGTAGCGAGGCAACAAGTGAAGCGATCAAACATGTTCTCTTTCGTTGTGCTCTCGATTCTTCACTTTGGGCCATTTCACTCTCCATCATCTTATATAGATACTTTTTGACAATTGCTTGTGCTTTTCGATGTCGGCCACTAAATGTTGTATAAAGTTTGCCCATAAAAGTTGGTGCAAAAATGATAAATTCAGCTGCTTTTAAAAGATCAAAGAGTGCTCTTCCAAGTTCATTTTGATTTGAATCATGTTCATCCAGCATTTCCAAATCATAATCAAATCCGATCAAACCGAAAATTTGGAGCATCAAATTTTGACTTTGTCGAACAACATCACAATGAACATGCTTATTTGGACTAGCACGCCAATTTGCCAAGAGTTTGTCAGTACAATCGACAATCAAATCGAAATTATTCGTGATATTTCCACGACGAAACAGTGGCAGAGTAATTGTAGCATGTCGTTTGAAACGAGTTCCTGGTCACCGATAAAAAGAAATATTATTTTTTGTTATGTCTGGCATAGAAAACGAAATTTACCTTTGACCGAAATGAGTGAATTTGGAACAATAATACCAAATTGTTCAATATAAATATCACCTTGCTCGTATATATTTCGATGAGTAAATATGTGTTGTACATCGGTGATACCATTTACCATAATGAAGCGAATTGGGCCAAACCAAAATTGAAAAATATCACCGTAACGACATTTGAATTTCGAGCAGACTTGCGGTAGAGATATGCCATTTAGTAATTGACCCGATTGAATCAAATTTCCGAATAAAAAATGCGGTGCAAGACCAGGTATAGGTCCACGAAGAGTGAAATATTTTAGTTTTAAATATAAGAATAATAAAGTGATCACGCCAATAGTCAGTAGAAGAAACATATTCGGTTGCACGTAGATAAATACTAGTTGAAAAGAAAGAGAAGCTTAGCATGTTGTATATCACCACGTGCCGTTATTCTTATCACCTAACAAAGAACAATAAATAAAGAGAATGAAAAATACTCGTCAATATTGCAAGCAAGCAGGAGAGATGAGTCGATATTTGTCCAACATTCGAAGCCATAAAGAGCAGTTTGTAAAACCGTCTCACACCTTTTGGAGTGGTTCAACCTTAGAATCTGAGTTAACATTCATGTAGAATGAGAGTGGGTGTTCGATGCGACTGTGAATCTTCTACTCTTCAAATTTCACACCAATAATCACACCTACATTAACACTCAATACCTTTTTATGTGCGTATACTATCAAATGAATGAATACTAACGGTTTGAGCAAGTGAAAATATTGATGTTCACTGCTAGTGCCAAGAGTGATATCCACTATAACATAAGCAATTCAGCTCCATCTCAATGTCTCTATTCTGACCTGATTATAATGTAACGAAGCCTCAATGATGTCACACTTATTGCACAGTCGCATTAATTTTTTTCCTCGACTATTTTATAAATACAGACTGCATCTCGGACTATTTATTCGAAAAATATTACTCTTTCACTTTTCTCAAGTACTATGCATACGATATCATGGTTCACCTGAACAAGTATCTTAAATTTTCTCTCAACAATAATAGTGAGATTCAACAGTATCTGCTGATTACCATTGATATATCCTTAAAGTGTCGCATCTTTTATATAGAAGCTCTTCTAACATTGATATCCTTCGTCTCGTTCTCACTTTCTTTCACTAAGTTCAAATGACATACGAAAAAATCAATTTATTCAAATATTCAAAAATATTTTGTTGCTACAAAAGAAATGATTAATGTGTGGAAGAAATGCAAGAATAAACACGATGCGTGATTGGATGCTGTTATTGATGTTGTCGATATGACTGTTGAGGGAGTTGTTCTCGTTGGGCCAGGTGGTGTCGTTGTATTGATTACTGGCAAATTAACAGGCAAGATATATTCACGTGATAATATTTGAAAAGTATCAATAGCACTAGTATTATATCCACAGGTTGGAGTGTTACACTCGTATGAACCAGCTTCCGTCAAACTTTTCCCTACTCCATATGACCTATATATTTGAGTCCATTGAAGTTTTGGTGAGTCGCTTTTATTTTGACATTCGCCCATAACGATTATTCTTTGAGGGCTTTGCCAATAAACATAAGCCATGGCGCACAGCGATGTCTTCTGAGGACATGATTGATTTCTACTTAGACATTGAATAGGATCAGTATTGTTTGGATTATAAAGATGTGAGGAAAGTTTTTCACGAAGAGGTTGTACTTGTATTGCAGACCAATTTGATGATAAGGTTTCATGTACAAATTCGAGATCACAATAATCGGATACTGAACAATCATATTGAATATTTACTTTTACTGATATATCACCCAATGAATATGTACTCTCAATTTGAAGTTTATTTTTAGTTAAAACCGATCGGTTTTCGGCATTAAATGAGCCGCTGACAAGACTTGCAGTAAAATCGATTGCTAATCCAACCAAACATTGTTGATCAATATCATCATTTAATTTGGATGTTGGACAAAATTCATAGGGAAATGAAGAGTTTAATGGTATATCATGAAATGTACATTTTTTCGAACATCGAATCGATTCAATAATTGGCAATGTAGATAAGAATATAAATATGAAGAGAAAACACAGTAACCGAATGCATCATGATGTTAATAAAACTTAGATACTGACAATACTAACTACAAGACATATTTATATAAGTATGTTATATACTATGTTACTTTCCTTCAGTAAATAAATGAGAATAAACGACGTCACTATTTTAGCTTGTTATCAAAAGATAAATTCATGACATTATATCAAGAATACTAATATTATATTTTGTGTGACATCTGTAACTGAGGGTGTGGGTGTCGGGTTATATCTACTGAACACAGACACCCACTCACACACCCCACTCACGTCCACACCCACACTCGCATGTAAATACACTAATGATGTCGCTTTTTGTTTTACTCAAGATTCCGCGAGAAGATAATAGTAAACTATACCTTTTCCAAGATCTTGCCAAGATCTTAGCTACAGATTTATCTGATACAACCAAGATATGTAACTTACATACAAATTATCTTTTCAAGATCTTGATAAGATCTTGCTTACCGATCCCTAGATTTCAAGATTTTGCTTACAAGATGTTCGACTAGGGAATATTTGAGTGAACTGTGGATGAACAGGATTTTCACACGTAAACCTGTATCCATACATAACCACACCCACACGCATCTGTTATTAAAGGTATTTTTAAGAATGGAACACAAAACAAAGTGTACACTTTTATTTTTCCAAATACAACTGAGAGCACATAATCCAAACGTTATTCTCATATATTCTTCATAACCAACACTTGTACTCAAGTTCTTTACAAGGCAAATTTGGCATTTTCCATTTCCCTTTCATTCACTCATTCATATTTTGAAGAAAGAGAAAAACCCTAATCAATCAGACAGAGACAGATTGACTAAAGAATAACTAACGACCGATATAAGAGAGCAGTTGCTCGTGTGTACACATGCAAAAAAATTCGTTCAGAAAAAAATTGGATAAAAAGAATTGTANAACGTAATTTCGTTACTAATTGTTACCTTTGTTATAGTATTCATATTAGATACCAATTTTGATAATTCATTTTGTTGAATTGAAACAGAATCAGTTCGATAAAGTAATATAGAATCAAGTTTCAATACATGAACATTATGTGTAAATTGTAAAAGTTCAATTAATTATTCAAAAGAAAAATGATGACATTCAATAGTTAGTTTAGTCAATTGTTTCACTGGAAGAAGACGATTCAAATCAATGATAATTGAATCACGAGGTACTTCAAATGTTTCATAAAGTGTAAGTATAGTAGCATTTGGAAAATTATCAATGGATTTTTTTTATCATATTTGTACTATGAATACAAATATGATGAATTGGATCTTCATTAATATCAAAACGAGATGACCAGATATTTGCGGCCAGTTCATCATACAATACATAATCTTTTCTTCTGAAAAGAAATAGATGAGAAAATATAGTGAAATACATAAATTTTTCTTGTTTTTACCTATATGGATTTCTTGAATAGAAGACAGCAGCATTCGATCATGTTATCTGATGATAATGATGGTCAAAGAACCATTGATGTTCTATCCAAAATGTTGAATTAAATTTATTGATAAGAGTTTCAAATGCTTGACGTTCATCGTTGGAATCTAGTCCACGATATGAAAGTTGAAAATCAAAGACACGTAGATTTAACATATGAATTGAAATTAATTGTTCCCATCGATCAGCATTTAAATACTGTGTACTATTATCATAAAATCCAATATACTGTATTGCAATAGTTAAAACTTGAATTTGACGAAAATAATTTGTTACTAAGATTTCAAAATCATCAAAATTGACGTTATGTAATTTAAGTGAAATATTTGTTAAATAATTTAAGCTTATCGAATCTCTTTCGGTTCGATTGATTTTAGGTTTCTTTAGATTACCAATCGATAAACGGCGTAGTTGTGGAACATAAGATAATAAAATAGGAAGTTGATCAATCGAAATCTCATGATTAATGATGAGATGTTCGATAGTACTAAATTCATTTGTAGCAACAGGTAATGATTTTGGACATTGTAATAATTCAATTAATAGCTGACAGTATTTCAGTATAGGTAAACGAAATATTTTATAATAAATATTCTTGTGATTTTTAATAGTATTAATCGATATGATAATCAATGAAGATAAAACAGGTAAAGAAGATAAATGATTTACAATTTGTTCAATATAATTCGATTCAATATTATTTAAAATAAGTGTTGTAAGTTGAGTTAAATTTTTCATTATTGGCAGTAGTAATAAACTTAGATCAATAAATGGATTCGATAATCGAAATAATTCAATTCGATAAGCATAAGGTTTAATAATATGTGTTAAATAATGCTGTAATTTAGATTTTGACATGGATGAAATATTGATTTTAATTGGAAGATTTTAATTAAGAAGAAGATCTTGAAATCGTTGATTAAGATCGTAAAAAGCTTGAAATGCATGATGATAATTGAGAAATTCAAATATTTCATAAGTTCATTTGAAAGATTTTCAAGAGTAGTAATATTTTCTTTTATTTAACTGAAAAAGAAGAGAGAGAACGAGAGAGATTTGATAAAACAAAGAAATAGTTTTGTAATAGACAAACCAGTTTGTTTCGTTTGCTGTTACTAAGAAATAAAAGATGTGTTCATTGAAAAAAAACTAGATATGATTTTTTACCGTCAATCTTTTTTCTTTTGTTATCATTATTATCATGAATAATATTATTTCGTTTTCTTTTGATTTGTTTCATGAAAAAATCAGACAGTTTATAAAATCTATAATGACGAACAGCTTATTGATGTATAAGTTTGAAAAAAGACTGCACGTGTGCTTTGCATAGCATGTCATTTTTTCCAACTTGGATGTACAGAACATGCAAGAAAGAAAAGCAATTCATATGATATGAAGCATGTTTTTTCATCATTGATTTTTACTTTCCTCATTTTATATTCATTTAACACAAATTGATGGATTTAGTTTTATGTTACGGTCAGATTATAACTACATAAGTTTTCTGGATTCTCTGAAGTATCTATTTGATGAATATAAATTTATCTTTATGTACATTTTTATCAGACACAAAATTTGCTAATTCAACTCATATTGTCACGTCATTGACATATGATCTTAGTTAATCCGTGAATGACACAACGCTTTGCAACGATCATTATTAATCAATGCATAGACTATGATAGCCCGTATCAATCAATAGGAGTTATTGTAAAAGTAAAGAACCCAGGCAGGGAACAAAATGGTATTAAAATGCTTAAAAATATACATAATTATAATGATGTAAAACTGTCACAAAAAATGGCTGAAGATGCTTTACATATGATGCATTAAAATGATTACTTCTAATCAAATGAAAATGATTTGAAAGGATTAAAAAATAATGTTAACAACACAAATCATTTTCTTCTATTCTTTCTGACTTGTTTTATTGATAGGAAAATTATTGATAAATTTGAAACAGTTAAATATTATTTAACAAATTTATTTCAATTTTACTTATTTAAATGACACGTCTTTCTTCAAGGATGTTCTTTTCAATATTTCATAAAAATTGTACAAATAAATTAATCATGGAATCAAAACGAAAAAGAATAAAAATAGAATAGACTATACATTTCGATACTACTCCAATTTAATCTCACCTTCATCCTAATGCTGATTGCTGCATTCAATGTACTAATCAGTGTAAGGGTGTAAGTAAACTGCAAAAGGATCTTAGTTTCCGTACTACTATGAAGCTAGAGTAAAAGAAATGTATAGTCTGTTCTATTTTTATTCTTTTTCGTTTTCATTCCATGATTAATTTATTTGTACAATTTTTAGGAAATATTGAAAAGATCATCTATGAAGAAAGACGTGTCATTTAAATAATTAAAATTGAAATAAATTTGTCAAATAGTATTTAATTATTTCCAATTTATTATTCGTGACCTTTTTGGCTACTTGTTTATATTACTCTTCCTCTGTAAGAATCTGGATTATTCTCACAAAAAAATTACTTTAATCTTTTTCTAACAACTAAATCACAGTGTAATGTTGTATTCACTTTGACACTAACTATAATATGGCATTATTGTGGAAGACGAACAGAGAAAATATTCTAGGAAGCGATTTAAAAACACAAATTACTATATGGTGATCACAATTAATAACACAGCTATTTTTCTCAGTTTAAATGAGAAAAACATTGAGGACTAGATGAAATCTTTATTTCATACATAGCATGTGTCATCACTGAGTGTATATTAATATGTTGGTCATATATATTTTCGTCTCAACGTTATTTTACTTGAATAACAAGAGATTGAGTGTCATTTATCTTGTCGAGTAATATACAGAAGATAAGAGTGAGGATCGACTATCCTAACACATTTTGTGGATAATCTAGAGAGTCAAAATAAACATCTTGCGCCGAAGAAAGATTCAGAGAAGTTTCAAATATTATAAATGAGAAGGTAAATTTCTTAGTTAGTTCTATTTAAAATCATCATTAACGTTTCTGACTACGTCGGATTTGAACACAATGATATACTATAACTGACTCGTCAATTTTTAAAATGAACTGATCTCGTTTCTTTCCTTCCTTTTATAGTTATATAATAGCGTTGTTCTGTACTTTGAGACAAAGACCATATTGGACCAATGAAATATAGTTGAGTATATTGAATAAAATAGTAGTGAGATGAATAAATAATATTAAACAGATCGAACCGATATAATGTTATTAGATGTTTATCTGGTTAAATACATCATTTAAATAAAAAAATTCCGATTGCCTTACAAGAATACCTGTTCTGTATTCCCACTATATGTCTCTTCTTATTTACAAAAATTAATGAAACAGACTACAAATTCGAGTTTCTCATTTATCACTCAAAATACATTTTTCTGATTCAATCGCTATCTTCAATGTCTGATGACATATAATAACAAATTAGAGTAGTTCGAAGTGATCTGAATTGTTACTTTAATCTAACCATTCAAAATAGGATTACTTGCACTAAATTAGATGTGAACGTAGACACATATGCGTTACTTACGTATTATATCTGAATACACTACCAGTAGTAAGTACACATGCATATCTTTCTCTCGATTTCTTACTCTTAAGTACTGTTCTTCATAAAAATAATATGAATGTCAATAGAAATAAGAGAATTGTGCAAGAAAATAAATAGATTAAACTAGAATTATATTTGATATATATTTAAATATTTAATGAATAATCACCAAATACTCGTTTAACCTCACTAAGTCCTCAATGTTTCCATACACGTTTGATGATTCGCCTTCTCTTCGCAATGTATTAGACTATGTATAATTCTACAAAGATGGAGGAGACAGTGGAACATGAGTAGTATGATCAGTACAACAAATTTTTTTTTGAACGGAGTAGAATCGGAGAAGATAGTGCTGTACTATAGTCGGACCTGATGCGTTAATTAGCGATCTATACAAAGATGTGCATTATATTATTACAGAAAACACAGTTACAGTAAGTATAAAATATTTATGCGATTGACTAGCGTACCAATACATTTGAAGAAAAAACTAGATATATTTGTTCAATTAATGAAACCTTCTGCAAAAAGAAGGTCAAATAGATCAAAAGGCTTATATAAATATTCCTGAGTATTTGTTATTATCAGTTGCATCACAAAATTCGAGAGTATTTTTTTACTGTCATTTTAAAAACAAACTTTGTATAATTTTTATAGATTGTTAGATTAACGTGAAGTAAATTGTTCATTCTGGTTTTTCATGAAAATTTCATCATATAAAATGAAATCTGTCTATTTCGATTTATGCGATTACTTTAGCCGAACAAACAAAAATAACCATACGAGTAATTTTTTCCTCTGATATATAGGAGATTAGACTTCTCAAATCATTTTGCACTGTTGTTTCAAATGGTTCTTTGTGCTGTTTTATCATCTTCGGATCAAAATCGTTTGTTTTGAGAAAGAAGAAACAAGATTATCCTAGTCGCCTGAGATATACGATTTATCCGAAAAAGACCGAGGTCTATCTTCTTTTGAACAAAGATGATGATGCTGTCTATTATAGACTTTCAATATTTATTGAAAATCTTACAAATTCAGCACTATTATAAAGAAAAAGATGTTTTTAGATTCAAGGATTGCAAAACGACTAACAATATCACACAAAAAACAGCTTTTCAGCTGTTATTCAGTATAATTTTGTCAGACTGGCGTACCTCAATAGACAATGCATTGGTGAAGTTTAAGAGAATTTTTTTGACTATTTTGCAAAAAGAACCTTCGATAAGCAAATATTAATGATCCATATAACTTTTTGAAGTTATAAATATTTTAAAAATCAGTGTGCAACTCTGAGAAAACAGTGTCCGTAATTGTGAAATGGTCAAAATTATTCATTAATGAATCATCCGTTTTAAGGGTGTGGGTGTGGCTGTGGGTATGGGGTGTGGGTGTTGTTTAAGAGATGATCAGCACCCACATCCCACACTCTTGAGATGAAAAGTATTTATATAAAAAATTAGAATAAGGGTAAGTGCGAGTGAACTTAAAGCTTACACAGAACACTCTTTTAACGGTTAATCTGGGGTTATTAGAGTTTCCTTCAGTGTTCGAATTCGATACACATATAGACAAGGATTATTCATTTTATTTAATTTTTTCACATGTATACGAACAAATCGATTTTCATATTTCCTTGCTCCAATATCACATTTTTAACAAAATCAAATCTTTTTAGTCGAGAGCGATTACATTGCGTTGCTTGTTTTATGTCTTCTTATATTTGATAAAGCTGTTCGAGCAACTAGCTAGAAAACAAGCAAAACAAGAGGATGTGAGTGTGGGTGTCAATCTTTAATGTAGCACAACCAACAATACGCTTCACAATCACACTTATCGATTTCGTCTTTGCTCAAAGAACTCATGATGTAACTAATATCCAGTAGCAGACTTAAGAATCATACGATAGAAGTGATTTCATGGAGACTCTAGTATTTCAATAGCGATGGGTGTCAATCATCATCATAGAACGTATTTTGACATTCATTAGTTTTATTCTCAGCCTATATTTCAACTTTTTCTGATAAAAAAAAAGAATCAAAATATGTTAAAATTGAATGATGGTATCGAGCATCTTTTCAGTAAATCGATTATTGGGCGTGTTCCATTTTGAAGTGAAATTACGTGAGAGAACAAAGGTTTTAAATTAACATTGTTTGTTTATTTTATGTGATGAAGACTAATCAAAAGATTGGAATATGTTGAGACAATCACTTCGTCCAAATATTTCTCTTTCGAGTCTATACAAAATGTATCAGTCAATAAATATGCCATTTCGAGGTTATTCTCTAGTAA